TGGCCAGGAATCAAACCCACACCCCTTTAGTGCATGGGCTGATGCTCGAATCACTTAGCAACAACACCAGCCAGGGCTCAACCAGAATTTTTAGTTTGGTGAGTAAGGGGTGCTTCTGGTCACAGGACAGTTTGCCAAATAGTCATACTCAGCAGACTAAAGAGGTAAAGCCAGAGCTTTTCTGATGTTTCCTCCTTGGTTCTCAGAAAAGAGGTTTCCCTGCTCCCTCCCTTGACAGTTAAGAAAAAGAACAGCTGTTAGCTTAGAAACGATTTATCTTTTGAAGAGAGATAGCCTTGAAGAAAAATGATTTTATAGCTCTGTGCCATATACTCTGAACAGATTGTAGGGTGTATGCATTGAAATGTGTTAAAACACACACACACACACACACACACACACACACAAAACAAATGCAAATGCAGCCAAGTGTGTTAGAAAAAGTTATAATCTTCCCTTTGAGCTTACGTCCATGTTCGGGAAGGAACACAGATAATCTGGGAAAATGCAGAGCTTGCTCTTGGGTGTTCTCCAAAGGGATCTCGGGTTTCCCAGGCAATAGCCAGCCTGCTCTTTGGCCCATGATGTGAGGGGACCTTAGCTGCTCTTGATGAAGCTTCCCTTGGTGCAGTATGCCAATAGTGCCACTTAAAAGAACCAGGATGTGGCCCTAACCTGTTTGGTTCAGTGGATAGAGCGTTGGCCTACGGACTGAGGGGTCCTTGGTTCGGTTCCGGTCAAGGGCATGTACTTTGATTGCAGGCACATCGGTGTGCAGGAGGCAGCTGATCAATGTTTTTATCTCAACAATGTTTCTAACTCTGGTTCCTCCCCCTTCTTCTCTGTAAAAAAAATAAATAAATAAAATAAATAAATAAATAAATAAATAAATAAATAAAATATATTTAAAAATACATAAAATATAATAAAATAATATTTTATGTATTTTTAAATATACTTTATTTATTTTTATAGAGAGGAAGGGAGAGGAATAGAAAGTTAGAAACATTGATAAGAGAAAAACATCGATCAGCTGCCTCCTGCACATCCCCCACTGGGGATGTGCCTGCAATCAAGGTACATTAAGACCTTTAATCACTGTTACGATACTTCTCTAGTCTTAATTGTTTAAACAGAGGTCAGAGAAGTAGCTGTTTATACTCTTTCATCATGTCTTTACGAGATTCGTGAATCCCTGGACCTTAAGGGTTTGATTCATTCTCTCAAACTGTTCCCATACTCCAAGCTGTATCCACTCCACCCCCAGGCCTGCCGGCTCCTAAAAAGGCCAGTGTTTCCCTAGAGAAGCAAGCCTGCCACCACCTAAGTCACCACTTCCATTACCTGCTAGGGGCACCCATAGGACCGTGCTGCATGTGTATTGGGTACATTTACTCATTCCTCCCTTGGGGGCTAGGAGGGTCACTGTGTGTGTGTGTGTGTGTGTGTGTGTGTGTGTGTGAGAGAGAGAGAGAGAGAGAGAGAGAGAGAGAGAGAGAGAGAGAGAGATGGTATGGGGGTAGAGATTGAATTTTGTTATTTGAGAAGATCAGAGGCCCCATTGGTAAAATGTTTTGAAGTTTAACTCAGGCAATACGTAGTATGCTTTAAAATAATTTTATCATTAAGTATTGACAATTAGAACATTTTACCCCTGTAAATAATGTCAGTTTTTAAAGAGCTATAAGCAGTTTTTTACCTAAGTGCTACTGTTTGTTCAGGTATATTAGTTAATGGTTTGGCCAGCTCTTTTGGCATGTATATTTTCATTTTTTGATGAATACAAATGTCCAAACTTAGCTTTTGCATTATATAAGATTCCCAAATTATATACCTCGTTAGCATCTTTATTTCTTTTATTTAATATAGTGTGGGACTGAACTCTAACTTGAGATGTGATGACACTTACTTTAAATTTTTGAAATAATATCTAGCCCCCTACAATGCATTCCAGTGCTATGCAAGGACATTTTTTGAGTCCTAATAAATCTTTGCTGCTAAATCTGTCTCCTCTACTGGAAGCAGTTAGTTGCTATTTCAATGACACTTCCTAGTTTAATGGATCACATCCTATATAATATAAGGCTAATATGCAAATAGACCTATGGAGGAACAACTGATCACTATGAGGTGCACTGACCACCAGGGGGCAGATGCTAAATGCAGGAGCTACCCCCTGGTGGTTCATGGCTGGTGAGTGCAGGAGCATTGGCGGGAGCCTCTCCTGCCTCTGTAGCAGCGCTAAGGATGTCTGACTGCGGCTTAGGCCCGCTCGTGGGGAGCAGGCCTAACCTGGCAGTTGGACATCCCCCAAGAGCTCCCGGACTGCGAGAGGGTCACCCTCCCCCCAAGTGCACAAATTTAATGCACCAGGCCTCTAGTTAATAATAATAATAAATTTATTGAGAGCCAGAGATGATGTTAGGCTAACTATATACATATCCATTAAATCCTTACCACGTATCTTCAAGAAAAGTGTTATTGCTCTTTTTTTATAGATGCAACTAGAGGCCTGGTGCATGAAATTCATACATGGGGGTATGTGTCCCTCAGCCCAGCCTGCACCCTCTCCAATCTGGGACACCTTGAGGGATGTCCAACTGCCAGTTTAGACCCGATGCCAGTAGGATAGAGCCTAAATGAGCAATCGGACATCCCTCTCACTATCCAGGACTGCTGCCTCCCAACCATTCGCCTGTCTGCCTGTCTGATTACCACTAACCACTTCTTCCTGCCAGCCTGATCACCCCCTAACCACTCCCCTGACAGCCTGATTGATGCCTAACTGCTCCCTTGCCAGCCTGATCACCCCTAACTGCCCTTCCTGCAGGCTTGATTGCCCCTAACTGCCCTTCCTTGCAGGCTTGGTCCCTCCCAACTGCCCTCCCCTGCTGGCCTGGTTTCTCCCAATTGCCCTCCCCTGCTGGCCATCTTATGGTGTCCATCTTGTGTCCACATGGGGGCAGCCATCTTTGATCACATGGGAGCAGCCATCTTGTGTGTTGGAGTGATGGTCAATTTGCATATTACTCTTTATTAAATAGGATAACTGAGATGAGTGATTTGAACAAGGCCATCCAAAACAATAAGGATTAGAGATGGAATTTGAACCCTGGTTTATGAGAAATGAAAGCCTTGCTGCCCTTTCTACTCTACCTGTCAGGGTTGTCTTGCCTTTTCTTTTCCAGTTCAGCTAATTTCTGTAAGCTTTTAAGAATCGTAGGTCTATAAATAGGTCTCTCTGATTATTCAGCCAATTTTATAGGAACAGCTCACTATCATATAGAGCTCATAGACCTTGGCTTAGTACCTTAATATAGGATAATGTTAGGTTGTTTGTTCAATAGCAGCTTAATTAAGATACTAGAGGCCCAGTGCATGAAATTCATGCACAGGGTATGTGTCCCTCAGCTCAGCCTGCACCCTCTCCAAAGTGGGACTCCTTGAGGGATGTCTGACTGCCCTACTGGGATTGGGCCTAAATGGGCAGTCAGACATCCCTCTCACAATCCAGGACTTCTGGCTCCCAACTGCTTGCCTGCCTGCCTGATTGCCTCTAACCTAGGGGTGTCGAACTCAATCAGAGTAGGGGCCAAAATCTAAAATCCAGCCTAAATCGCGGGCCGAATGGTTTACTGAACAGTCATAAACTGTCATTGTGATGGAAATGCAGCGGAGTGCAGTGATGACAGCGCGGTGCGGGCCACATTGCAAGGCCTGGCGGGACGGATTTGGCCCACGGGCCTTGTGTTTGACACATGTGCTCTAACCACTTCTGCCTGTCAGCCTGATCACCCCCTAACCACTCCCCTGACAGCCTGGTTGATGCCTAACTCCTCCCTTGCCAGCCTAATTGCCCCTAACAGCCCTTCCCTGCAGGCCTGGTTCCCCACAACTGCTCTCCCCTGCAGACCTGGGTTACCCCCCCCCCCCCCCCCCCCCCCCCCCCCCCCCACTGCCCTTCTCTGCAGGCCCGGTTGCCTCCAACTCCCCTCCCCTGCTGGCCATCTTGTGGTGGCCATCTTGTGTTCACATGGGGGCGGCCATCTTGTGTGTTGGAGTGAGGGTCAATTTTCATCTTACTCTTTTATTAGATAGGATGATTCAAATACCAAAAAACTTATCCTTTGAAGTGTACAATTTGGTGCTTTTTAGTATATTTACAAAGTTCTACAACCATTACCACAATCAAGTTTAGAACATTTTCATCACCTCCAAAAAGAAGCTTCATGTCCATTAGATCACTTTCCATTCCTTTATCCCTCTCCCCCAATCTCCTTTGCATCTCAGTGGATTTGCCTTTTCTAAATGTTTTATATAGGTAGAATCATACAGTATGTGGCTTTTTGTGTCTGGCTTCTTACACTGAGTGTAATGTTTTCAAGGTTCATCATGTTGTAGCCTGAATCAGTACTTCATTTCCTTTTTGTTGTTTTGTTTAAAAGGATATTTTTTTCTATTTGATTTTTAGGAGAGTGGAAGGGAGGAAAGGAGGAGGAGAGAGAAACAACTAAGTGAGAGAGACACATTGATCGGTTGCATTCCACACGCACCCCAACAGGGCCCGGGATTGAACCTGCATCCTAGGCACATGCCCTTGACTGGGAATCAAATACATGGCCCCTTAGTGTGAGGGCCAATGCTCCAACCACTGCGCAGCACCTGCCAGGACAAGACGTCATTCCTTTTGATGGCTGAGTAATATATTCCATTGTATGGGTAGACCACATTTTATTGACCCATTCATCTGTTAATGGACACTTGAGTTGTTTGTACTTCTTGGCTGTAATGGAACATTCATGTGCAGGTCCTTGTATAGATGTGTTTCCATTTTCACTTTTCCAGTTTGTCTTTAACTCATCCTGGTGTGGTTCAGTAAGCCTTCCGTTTGATTACAAGTATTCCCTGTGACAGCAAATTGCAACAATAGAGGACTGCTTGAATTATATATTGTGGTTATGTTCTCTTGGTGAGTTCCTATGGTTTGTTTTTTCTTGTAGACCTGCCCTTCATGCAAAATTACATTTGCTCCCAAATCGGAAGGTGTTGCAGAAGCAGGAGCAATGCAAAATGGCTGTCAGGAGGAGCATAAAAATAAAAACAAGGTAACAAGCTCCTGGATGTCATACTGTCAGTTCTCCGGTGGATCCACCTGAGATGAAACTCCTATTGTCAACTTCTCGGTTCTGGGAATACTTCCTCTTAGGTGACCCATTCCATACCTTCTAGTCCTTTTGCGTTTTGAACAGACCAATAAAGAACAGGAATGAGTCAGAACTAATCCCTGAGAAGTAATCAGATGCTGAACTGAATGGGATGGATCCCTAAGGGGCAATAAGGGTTTAAAGGCATGTGGATTAGAGAATTAGTGAAGGTTTGTGGGGCTGGAAGTTGGATTTAACATATGGTGGACTGTGGGTTTGCAAAGAGAAGAGGGGACTTGAGGATAAGAGACACATCATGGAGAGGGGCTTGGGATTAGGGACAGCAGCAAGGAAGCTGCCAGAGAAACCTCCTTGGAACCAGAGCTAGGACTGGAGCGGAAATTAGATTCGATAGCTGTGAAGGCTGGCCATCCAGCAAGCCCACTCGGTCATCCTCTACCCTCATGTCGTCTGCCCAGGGATTGTGTCACACTAGGTCTGTTTGTCTTGCAGACAGGCAGTCACCCTTTCCTAAACTACAGCCCATATGGGTTTTCTTTCTCTGGATCCACCCTTGCACTTCTCCCAAACCTTCCCCAGAGCCCTCTGGAACCCTGGTTTGGTGGTCAGCAAACTGAGAGCCTCACCCCACCCTGGTTGCCTGAACGCCTGGAGTTGCGATTTGCCATTTCAGGGGGATAGGGAGAAGCAGATGGGTGGCGAGATCCAGACTTTGGATTGGGACCAAGACTTGAAGGTGCAGCGCACAGTGCAGTGGGACTCCAGCGTAGCAGAGGGGTTGGGCGGAAAAGCATGCTGCACATCCACGGGTCACCGCTGTGTCTGCTTCCCTCTGTCTTGAGGCAGGTTCCTGGAGGACATAATTCCAAAACACAGAACGGACTCCTGAGCCCTCCCCAGGAGGAGAAGCTCACCAACAGCCAGACCTCCCTGTGTGAGATGCTACAGGAAAAGGGAAGGTGGGCAGGGGTCAGCCTGGACCAGTCTGCTCTCCTTCCACTGAGGCTTAAGAACATTCGGGAGAAAACAGACGCCCACTTTGTTGATGTGATCAAAGAAGACAGGTAAGAGTGGAGCAATGGGAATTGAAGTAAAGTTTGCAGATATAAGACTTTCCCTTTCTCTAAATTACCTTGTCTGTCATGTGTTGTCAATATATCACTTTACTTTGAAGTAATAATTTGAAACTTACAGAAACAGTGCATGAATAATACTAAGAATTCTCTTTATATCCTTTTCCTGATTTTTCTAACTTTTAACATTTTACTGTTTGTTTTAGTCTCCTCTCTCTCTTCTTTCTGTCTTTCTCTATAAAATTTATAATTTTTTTTCTAGACCACTTGACAGTAGTTGAATACATCATTTTCTTTACTCCTTTAATACTATATTTCCTAAAAATAAAGATGTTCTTTCATATAATCATAGTTATCAAATTTGGTAAATATGGCATGTGATGTTTTATATCTGTAATCCATATTCCAGTGTTGTTGTTTTTTTAATCAAACTGAGATGAGAGAGAGAGAGAGGAGAGAAGTATTATACATGCCCCAACTGGGGATCAAACTTGCAACCTAGGTATGGCCCTGACCAGAAAAAGAACTCACAACCATTTGGTATACCAGATGCACTCCAGCTAACTGAGCCTCCCGGCCAGAGCTCCAGTTTTGTCAGTTGGTAGCACTTTTTCTTTAGCACAGGATTCTGTCCTGGGTCACAGGTTTAATTATGCAGTGGAAGATGTTTTCAAAAGCAGGGTTCTGCAGATGTGTGCTATTAATTATGATGGATGGTCATTCTTTAGTGGGGGTAGGGGGAGAGACATAAAATGTGATTATGTTTAGAATTGCTTTCCAGAGATACATTCTAAAAGGAGTGGCTGAGCCATGTCTAAAAAAGTCATTTGGTGATTTTAGATACAGCTTTTGTGATATACTTATTGAGTGATGTTTTGGTAACGAATTGCAACCTGCTGATACAATAAATAGAACTGTGCTTCATGTTAATCAATTGCATTTTTCATCTCTTCTAGCCTGATGAAAGATTATTTTTTTAAGCCACCCATTAATCAGTTCAGCTTGAACTTCCTGGATCAGGAGCTAGAGCAAGCCTACAGGACCAGCTATCAAGAAGAGGTGCATGTTCCCTATCATTTTACTAAAGAAATGTGTTGTTGTTACCAGACAGTTCCCAATTAGTTTTGTGCTTTGGAAATCTTTCCTGTTTTCCTGAATGACAGGAAAAGGAAAGCTAATATTGATTTCCCACAGTCTATAAGCTCTAAATTGCATCTTTATATGAATCTATCTACACAAGGGAGAAAACTCCAAATCCTTCTGCGCTCTCGAGTCTAGCAACCAAGGCTTGTCATTGCCCAGTTCCTTTCCCCTGCAGCTGGTGCATCCACCACCAGGCTGTGTGCTCCCCTTGGGCCTTGTTTCGTGTCTATCCCAGCATCCTGCACAGAGCCAGGCCCTGTATTTTCATCTGCTGCTGCTTCAGTCCCCGCCTGTTACTTCCGCCATGAAGCCAGCTTTTACCCTCCCTGAACCTGGGACCCAGACATTCAGGGGAAGCTCCCAGCACATGGCTTTTGTGCTGCTGACTTTACAGACACAGAATAAGGGACTTTACCAGCCAGTAACTCATTTTTCAGGGTCAGTATGCAATGTGCCTGTGAGAACTTACTGGTGTGTAGTCAGTTGCTGTGTGACCTTGGGCAAGTTCCTGAACTTCCCTGTGCTTTAGTTTCCTCGTTGTTAAGCAGAGAAATAGTAGGGTGATGGTCCACCCAAAGCACTTATTGCCCTGTAACTGGTTGGGGGGTAGGCGAATGTTTGGGTTTTTCCACCTAAACTATACTCCATGACCATCTGTCACAGCATCTGTTCATGCACCTCCACCTTTCTCGTACTCCAAACAGGTTATAAAGAATTCTCCCGTGAAGACTTTTGCCAGTGCCACCTTCAGCTCCCTCCTGGATGTGTTTCTGTCAACAACAGTGTTTCTGATTCTCTCCATCACCTGCTTCCTGAAGTACGGGGCCACTACCACACCTCCCCAGCCAGTCACCCTGGTGGTCTTCGGGGTGGCCCTGCTCCTGGAGGTGCTGTCCCTCATGGTCTCCGTCAGGTAAAGGCTCACCTGCAGGGCGGGTCTCCAGCTTTTAGCCTCTGGCTCCCTCTGCTGGCTCCACAGTTTATGACTAAACAGTCTGCGGCACAGCTGACCAGCGGTCTGAAGCGCGGTGTCTCTGCAATCTCATTTCAGGTGAAGGGTCCTCTTTCCTTCCTTCCCCCGGCCCTACTTCACAGCTTTCTCCCTTGAAGACCCTGGCCCTGGGCACAGGTGGGCACTCTCTTGACCAGAGAGTCAGTGTCCTCTGTAGCCCTGATGCCGCCAGCTAGTCCTGTATTTTCCAAATCAGAGATTTAAAAAAAAAAAAAAAAAAAAAAGGTGGGATATGGCATAAGAAAGGAAAGATAAAGGGAGTTTATAGGGTCCAAATGATAGGAGGTTGCCAGCAGATGAGCAGACACCTCTCCCAGATATAAGAGAGAAACTATAAAACCCTTAGGAGACATCATAGGTGTAAGTCTCTGTGAGCTTGGATCAAGCAATGGTTTCTTAGACACAAAAAGCACAAGCAACCAGAGAAAAAATAGTTGGACTTCATCAAAATTTGAAATTTTTAAGTTGAAAGAACACCACCAAAAAAGTCATAGAGAACCTGGGGAATGGGAGAGAATATTTGTAAATCCAGGGTTTAATATCTAGAATGTAAACTCAATAATAAAAAGATAACCCATTTAAAAATGGACAGAGGGTCTGAACAGACAACAGTGGCCCCTCAGGAAGCTGGGCCCCCAGCACCTGCCCATCTTGATGTCAGGGTTCAGTTTGACACTGAGGAAGCCCACCGCTGCTCTGTACATTTCTGACTAGAAGTGAATGCACGGGGCATTCTGTTCACAAGCACCCAGACTGCCTGTGCCATTTGCCTCCTGGGCACTATGACACAGTCCTTGCACCACAGCCACCTCCTCTGTTCAGTCTTGTCACTCCCAACAGGTCAGCCTGTCAGCCTAATAGATTCCCACTGGTAATTGCCCCCCAAGCTGGGGATAAAACAGAAACAGGGAGAAGGGCACTGGACGTAAGTTTCTGCTCCTCTTTCCCAATATCCCAGAACAGGAAGCAATAGCTTCAGATCTGGCTCTGAGTGAGTGCCCCCCTCCCTTCCACACTCACTGTCATCCTGCTCCCCTCTGAAGTCCCTGGGAGGGCCATTTGCTGAGGACTGCTAGAGGCCACACGCTCATCTCCTGGCCTGGCTCTGGTTGAGGTAACTCAGGTGTGTCCTTGCTGTCTCCCCAAATTCCCTCCAGCTGAGTGGAGCTGAATTACCTATAAGTGACTCCTCAATTACACAGCCCTCCCTGTGGGCCTGCCCCTCTGGTCCTGGCTCTGCTCCCCTCACTGAGCTGCCTGGGACATAAATAAGCTCTGCTTCTGGGGAACCCAAACTAAGTCATCCTCAGGCCCCTAGTTTGGTTTTTTCCTTTTTTAAACTTAGATTTTTAGTTTAAAAAAATATTTTTTTATTGATTTCAGAGAGGAAGAGAGAGGAAGAAAGAGATCAAAACATCAATGATGAGAAAAAATCATTGATCGGCTGCCTCCCGGGGATTGAGCCCTCAACCTGGGCATGTGCCCTGACTAGGAATTGAATCGTAACCTCCTGGTTCATAGGTCAGTGCTCAACCTCTGAGCCACACTAGCCAGGCTAAACTTAGTTTTCTTATATAACTTACATGTAATAAATTCTTATTTCAGTCATCACCATATAACTTTACAGCTCTTCTATCACCCCAAAGAAAACACAGTACCCATTTGCAGTTACTCCATTCCCCTCCCTACCCCAGCTCCAGGTTTCCTTCTGGCATGGACCTACAACTAGATAAAGCTTTTGATCAGTCTGAAATTAGCATTGCCTCCACACATTTTTTTTTAATAAATATATTTTATTTATTTTGTACAGAGAGGAAGGGAGAGAGAGAGAGAGTTAGAAACATTGATGAGAGAGAGTCATCAATCAGCTGCCTCTTGCACACCCCCTACTAGGGATATGCCCGCAACCAAGGTACATGCCCTTGACCGGAATCGAACCCGGGACCTTTCAGTCCCCAAGCCGACGCTCTATCCATTGAGCCAAACCGGTCCCGGCTGCCTCCACACATTTTTAAAAAACCCTTTATACCCTGTTCCTTGGACCTAATTCTACAGAATCTGGGCTAACCCACATTTAGAGACTGCAGGGGGCTGCAGTCAGACAGACTCCAGGCCTGGCTGTGCCCAGATGCTGAGGTGCTGGGCCAGGTGGATGTGGCAGCCACTGTGCTCCTGAACCACCTCTGGTGTGACTTTAGAAGTTCACTTTTCCTGGACTGTCAAAGCCTGGGAGAGGTTCAGACCCTGACGGATAGCCTCACACACTTATATTTAGGGTCCAAAACTAACAGGAACCTACACTGAGGAATATGTCGGTACCCCAGGGAGGCCGTTCTGTGGCTCTTCAGTGGCTGACCCAGGCCTGGCACCTCCTCTGGAAGGCTGCCCAGTCTCAGCTTGGGCTCTTGTCCTTCCAGCCGTTTGTGCTGTGCCTTCGACAGGCAAGCGGACAGGGGTCTTGTCCTTGGAATTCTGCAGCCTGAGACCTTTGTGGAGGGCTTCCCAGGCTGCCTTCTCCTGGCTGGGCTCAGCTCCTCTGTCTCCTTGTAGGGCTTGTGTATTCTCTTTGAGCATATTTGTGGTTATCCTTGGAAATATTCCAAGAATTCCACTAACCTTTTAAGTATCAGGAGGCCAGAATAGTCCAGCACTTAAAAGGGTCAGATGGGCCCTAGCTGGTTTGGCTCAGTGGATAAAGCGTTGGCCTGTTGGACTGAAGGGTCCCGGATTCAATTCTGGTCAAGAGCACATGCCCAGGTTATGGGCTCAATCCCCAGTAGGGGATGTGCAGGAGGCAGCCAGTCAATGATTCTTTCTCATCATTGATGTTTCTAGTCTCTCCCCCTCTCCCTTCCTCTCTGAAATCAATAAAAAATAAAAAATAAAACTTTTTAAAAGGGGGTCAAATGGGGCCTAGCTCTATGTGGGAGATAGCTGAAATTTGGGGGTTCCTCATGGAGGCCGAACATAGGTGCTGTAGGTGTTAAGGCCTGAAGGTGCAGGTGCCTGGGTGCGTGTGAAAAGTCCCGATGAGTCTTTGTGCCCTCACAGTTCAGCAGCGGCTCTTGGCCCCCCTTCACCTTCCCCAGGGGCTGGCTTCAGAGAGGGACTGTGTGCATGGGTCTCCCTCCTGAGACAGACCCCCACTGCCCTCTCTTCCATCTCCCACTGCTGGGGTTCAGGCGCCCCTCACTCTAGGATTCCTCCAAGGCCATTCTGACCTGCAGGACCACAGTTCTCAGCCCCACAGTCTCAGCTCCCTTCTTTATGAAAAATATGATGTTCCCATCATTGTCCTGAAATTTAGCCCACCTGTACACACAACTTCTAAAAGGATCTGTGAAATGCTGTCACTCCAATATGAAGGAGAGACAACAAAAAAGCCATCTATAACGAAATAGGTAGTGCTTCACCTGAAATACGCTAGGGGACCACCATCGGGAGTTATCACAGCTGTCAGCTGTCTGCCCTCCTGTGCACAGTCGCTGCCAGTGTGGCAGCTCCAAACGCGGCCGCAAGGGCATGCAGGTTTGGTGGCACAAGCACCACGGGCTGAGTTGCAGCCTGAGATTTCTGAAATGTTGAACGATCATGGTGATGTCCCAGACAAAACAAAGGGTAGTCTTGCTTGGTTTATTCAGTAGTGTATTCCCAGAAACGTAGTGTATTCCCAGAAAAGACAACTCGCAGAAGCCACTTTCTGTTTATAAACGAAATGCAACTAGGCTGTAGGGCTGAGGTCATTGTCAGCAGGCTTTACGTCTCTACATGAGTCCGGGGGCATGTGGCAGTCAGGTGGGGCGCAGGGCAGAGCTTCACTGCACGTTGCAGAATGCCTGTCTAGACGTCAGTAGTACCCCTCAATCATTGGGGCAACCAATGGGGCCCCACAGAATTCCAAAACTGCCCTGGATCACCCACTCCAGACCTCCTGCCCTAGAAGCAGATGACAGTGTGGTGGGCACTTTCACAGGATCTGTTAGTGTCTGTGTGCCCAGTGCGTACCTGCTCTTTTAGACCCACGGAGGCTTGCTTGGCTCTTCATAAGCACATCTTATCTGAATGCATCAAGCGAATCAGGTACGCTGAGCCGAGCAAGGCCAGTGTACTTGCCATCTACCGCGGTGAGGGGTTGGGGGCTCTGCCTGTGGTTCACACCAGCGGCACCAGCATGGGTGAGAGAGGGCAGCAGGCAGGCTGTCGATCCTCCGTCTCCTCTTCTCTGGCAGGCCTACCCACCCAGACACCCCTGCCTCCTTTCTCTCCTCAGGATGGTGTTTTTCCTGGAGGATACGATGGCTTGTACCAAGCGCCTGCTGGAGTGGATCGCCGGCTGGCTCCCGCGACATTTCATTGGGGCCATCCTGGTGTCACTTCCCGCTCTCGCAGTCTATTCACACATCACTCCCGAATTTGAGACGAACATCCATGTAAGTAAAGACTTGGTAATTTATTTCTGTGCTCTCTGGACTCCTGTATCACTTAAGAAAAATAATAAGCCTGATGACTTGGGACACCAGTTTAATATAGGCCCTTAAAGAAGTACAAACTCTGTTATTCTTCAAAGTACAAACTTTGAAAAGACTTTCCTGGGACCGAGGAGCAGGCAGGGAGGTTATCACAAAGACTGTCCAGATGCTCAAACCTGGCATTGGCCACATCAGTGAATGACCCGCCCTGGGGAGAGTGCCCAGTAGATATGTGTCCTGTCCACCAAGGTCCAAATCTATTTTTTTTTACATGTTTTTATAACATAAAGAAACATTGTAAGCAACACAAGATCGTGTGGTCACATGCTGGTCGGCGCAGGTAATTGACTTATCTGATCTGCTGCTGCTGATCAGGGCAAGAGCTTCTGAACTAAACCCCATCGAGAATGAATTGATGCTGTGGTGGAAGGTGATATTTTGGGTGAAAGTGACTATAACATGAACTACCAGGTGGGCTGACTGCGTTTGATATTTGAACACCAAATTACCTTTCCACTGATAGGCAGCAGGTACATGAAGGAAAGGCTTTTTGAAGGTAACTGATTTCACGGTAATTCTCAGAGGGTGTGGCCTACTTTCCCTTTTCTCCAGAGTGTAATTTCCAACCATCTGGATAATTTTTTTTTCATGTAAACATTTTTTAAAAATATATTTGTATTGATTTCAGAGAGAAATAGAGAGGGGAGAGAGAGAGAGAGAGAGAGACACATCAATGATGAGAGAGAATCATTGACCGACTGCCTCCTGTACGCCCCCTCCTGGGGATTGAGCCAAGTGCCTTGACCGACCTCCTGGTTCATAGGTTGGTGCTCAATCACTGAGCCACACCAGCCGGGCTGGGGAAGAACTTTAGGGCCTTCGTGAACTTGTACCCTGAAGCTTTCTCTGATGAACCTAATGATTCATGATCTGTCCCCGAAACTGCTGGATATTTTACGATCACTGCAATATTTTTATCTGTCACAAAGACACAGACAAATGAGCAAACCGTGTGACCTTGTGGTGCTCAGATGGCAGGTGGGCCCTGAGGGGAGGGGTGATGGGTTCCTAACGGAGTGCTGCCCCTCGCTGCAGTTCACCGTGTTCATGGACTCGGCCATCCTCGTCGCCGTGGTGCACTACTGCAACTTCTGCCAGTTCAGCTCCTGGATGCGGTCCTCCTTGGCCACCGTCGTGGGGGCCGGGCCCCTGTTCCTGCTGTACGTCTCCCTGTGCCCGGACAGGTACGTAGGCCGCCACGGCTTGTGTCTGGCTCTCTCGATGGCAGGGCCCCCTTGACTTCGATGTCTCTCTCACCTCAGTTTCACATCAGCACGAACACTGTCAGCTCTAACAGACAGCCACTGTCCCAGCGGGAGAGAGCTTTCAGCACACACAATGTCAGCAAGTGGTGAAATGCCCAAAGAGTAATGTGCAAAAGAACGAGGAAGAAAATAAATTTAATAATATAATGTGTCTGCATTTAGACACTCCAGGCTGACTACCCCGGGAGAGAGAATGCAGTAGTCACACGTTTGAACTTATTTATAATGAAGACGTTTGAATTTAGGAAGGTCGGACCAGGTGCTGTTTCATACAAGACAATCCAGAAAATGAAGGAATCAAGGTACAGGCGGACACAAAAATGAAAGAAGGAAGCGGGTTCTAACCTAATTTGAAGTAGGGTTAATGTACCAAGACAGATTTCAGACTGCTGAAGGAGAGGAAATGAAGAGGTATGACTGTGCAAGGGACTTGAGCATTATTCATAAATATTGTGTCATAACAGCTCCCCATGCTATCACATGAAGCATCAGAGTCATCACGAATCACTTAAATATGTTCTTATCTTGATATCCCTCCACATGTCGAAGAATATATTGACTCCCTGGTACTCAAATGGCCTTCAAAACCATATCACTGATAAGTGCTGAGGACAGAGTGGGTGGGCTGGGAAAAGAAACAGGAGCTGTGTGAGAGATCCCAGGGGACGGGGTCAGCTCTTAGTGCTGAACTGCAAAAATGAAAATAGGATGGTCTGGCTGGTGTAGCTCAATGGTTAGAGCCTTGGTCCCAGGGGACATGGGGGAGGCTTACCAATGGATCTTTCTCTCACACATTGATGTTCCTGTCTCTTTATCCCCCCCGTACCAATTACTCCCTCCCACTCTCTCTAAAAGTCAATGGAAAAAAATATTCTCAGATGTGGATTAACAACAACAAAAAATCATTGGATGGCAATATACATATGTGCTGTATTTAAAATGTCCTATACTAGTATTAAAGAAATCCTTTTCACATGTTCTAATAATTGAAGAATGTTTGGTTCTTAGTTTGTTACAATGAGTTTAAAATTGCCTGTTGCATATTTGCAACTGATTTTGTGGTTTTTAATCATTTTCAAATTAAGATGTAGTTGAAAATATAATGATACTTTGGATAGCAGGATGCATACAAGTGAGGAATTTATTCAAAAATTGCATGATAAGGTCTTGAACCCAATAAGCTTCCTTTTCAGTAACATACGCCTAAATTTTGGACTTTTTGTGTAACTACTTATAAAAACAGTTTACTCTCAGCATGTATTGAAGAACCACTTATTTACAATTACACTGGGTTTAGGCTAGCAGGATATTTCAGAGTTGCATCAAACGTTTATTCATTGTACTTTGTAGGATATCTAATATTCATGGCTCCCCAGATTATTATGATAGTCAGAGGGACCCCCCAACATTTCCAAAATGCCCCCTAGACATGGTATTATTGCTGAGAACCATTGCTTCAGTAAATTCAAAAGTAGGTTATCGAGCACTATCCGGTTTGCTCAGTGGTTAGAGCATTGGCCCATGGACTGAAGGCTCGCATGTTCAATTCCAGTCAAGGACGTGTACCTCAGTTGCAGGCTCAATCCCTGGCCTGGGTCAGAGTGCACGTAGGAAGCAACCAATTGATGTGTCTCTCTCACATCAATGTTTCTCTCTGTGTGTCTCTCTTCTTCCCTCTCACTTTCTCTAAAACTCAATGGAAAAAATACCCTCAGGTGAGGATTAGCAGGGGGGAAAAAGGTAGGTTATCCAGTTTGTCACGATATCTAATGAAATTGCCAAAGTGTATCTTTGGTTATAATCAAAGCAGTGGTTGGTAATGGACAGAGTAAGTGTCCTTCCTCAATTTGCTTTAATAACAACATGAAGGATATTCAAGTTCTGTGCAAATTAAGATTAACAGGGGAATATAGAGTAGAACTGTCCCTTAGTGTTCGAAAGGAAACCGTAATGAGTAGTTAAATTACTTTAAGCAGAACAAAGCCTACATTTCCTTTTCTGAAGTCGCGGCCATCTGGCTTTATGGTCATTACGAAGCTCTTTCTCAAGAGCCTGAAATTCAGCAAACTGCCTTTTATCCTTTTAGATCCATCACAAACCACCCCATCAGTTACTTACAGTCACTTGGTCACTGGGGTGCAGCTTTTCCACTGGGGCCCAGAGAGCCATTGTATTGGGAGCCGGCATCGCCTCTTTGCCCGAATTCAAATAACAGATCTTGGGAATGGCTGGCAGGTGAATCTCCCCTTGACCCAGTACTTCTCCACACACACAAGATCCTCTGAGTCCAGTCAGCCATCTTCACTGCTAAGTTTTTCCAGGGTAGAACATATATGGGGTGGTAAACAAACATGTAAACTCGTCTCCTATAAAGGGGAGGGGACTCTGAGAACTGTGGCCAGCGTTTCGGGGACACAGACGCGTGGATACAGTGACGTCTCGGCCATGTCTGGACATCAGTGTGAGACGAGGATATGAAGTCTTATAATTCACATGTGACGTAGCTCTTGCTTTTCTTTCCTTTTCTGCAAAGTCCTTTAGCACCTCACGTAGTTATAAAGGCCACTCTTGAGCCCCTCACCTGGCCCTTGCTGCCCAGGAGAGCTGCCCCCAGAGGCTGTGCCATGTCCTCCTTCGCAGTGACCAGGCCCCCTGGATGGGGAAGTTTGCCGCTGATTTCAGGACTGGGTGGGTTCTGGGTGTGACCCAACTCCCAAAGATGTAGCTAAGAATGTGGAGAGATTAAGAGCTGCATGTGTGTACCTTCCCTGACCAAAAGAGAGTTCTTTAAGTATGAAGGGTTTCAGTGCAATAGCAAAGTCTGCTTCTCCCTAAGATGTAATCTGCCAACACCTCTAGCAGTTCCTTTCAAAATTGACCCTTTGTCAGCAGACACTGCTTTTTGAACATGACTGAAGTTTCTATTCTATAGACACCATGATTAAATCCTAATTATAAAATACTAGTGGCCCGGTGCACGAATTCGTGCACATTGAAAGAAAAAAATTAGAAGAAATATTAGCCTTTTATGTCTATAGATATGCCTTTGAGAGTTTCCTGTTTTGTTTTGTTTGGTGATTTGCCTATTCTCCATAGCTGATGGAGGCTTTATACCTAGATCATTGCCTTTACCTGTGGCATTCTTACTCAACATACATTATCAAATTAACTGTCTAACTTGATCTCCACATAAAAAAGAAAAATTGTTCATTTAAAGTCTTCTCAGATTGCTTTATACAATGCCTTTTATAATAATATTTTTATTTATTTTAATTTCAGTTCCGAAGTAATTTCCCACCATGGTGCAGTACAGAATTTCAGGTAAGCTTTTAACATTGTGCTTAAATCTGAATCAATGAGAATAACTATATTATTACTGCTTATTTCTAAACTTTCTAAATCCATTGTATCTTAAATAAGGAATAATATATACATTCTTAAAAGAATAAAGAAAAACATATACTTGTTGAAATATCAGATCATAGTTATATTTTATTGGGAAAGTGAAATGATGGTTAAGACATATGTTAGCCCTTGCCTGGTAGGCCAGTTGTTTAGAGCATCATCCCGATACACCAGGGTTTTGGGCTCCATCCCTAGTAAGTACACATACAAGAATCAACCAATGAATGCATAAATAAGTGGAACAACTATGTTGTTCCTCTCCCCCCACCCCCGTCTCTCCTTTATCTCCCTTACTCTCTCACTAAGCTCAAGTTTTTAAACCATATGTTAAATTTGGTTTAATTTTATATAAGACTTTAAGAGATCTCACCAACTGAAGAAAAGTACTTATTTTAAAAGTACTTATTTAAAGAAAAGTAAAATATTTTGAAATAACTGACTAGAAATTTGAAATAATAAACCCTCGCTTTACTATAAACTAAATTCTAAATAAATGAAGAGTCTAAAATAAAAATTATATAAAAATGTAGAAAAATAAAATTAAATAGCTTTCAAGCCTCTAAGAGATAACTTTCCAAACTGACAAATAATAATGGAAACCACATGTAAAAAAAAAAAAAGAAAAAGAAAACAAGGATGTACAGACAAATTGATTAGAGGGGATCAAAACAGACTAAGAAAAACATTTGTGGAACTTTTGTTTTTATTTTTGGGGGGGAAGGGGGCTGTTTTAAAAAAGAGTTAATTAAGCCCTACATAAATAAAAGACAGGGAGAAAAAACAACAGCAAAATATTCACAAGAGGAAATGTAGGTGGTAAATATATTCCTGCTGAAGTCATTGCACATGTAAATAGCTGCAGAATTCTTTTGGGGCTTTTAAATTGGATCTTTAAAAGTTAAGACATAAATACCCAGCGTAGGCAAGGGTGTGGCACAGTCATAAATTCTGGTGGTGTATAATTTTGTGTGGCTACGAGGCACTTATAAAATATAAGGTTGATTAATAACTTTACACATGGGATGACCTTATCCCCATTGTCCGGTCGAGGACGCTGCAGATCAGAGAAGTTATGGACCTGCCTGTGGTCATACAGCTGGTCACTGCCCGTGTGTAAGCCCTGGCCTCTCATGACGAGGTCATGCTCTGTCTGCTGTGCTTCACCACTCCCCTGGGGGGTACAGTTGTTTTAGAAAGTATTTTGACAATCTGTAAAAATGCTCATAGCCTTTATGTAAATAATCCTGTTTTTGTTAATCTGCTGAGGAGATAATTCAGCGTATGGTAAAGGCTGCATGCCCAAAAATATTGATCTCAATGATTGATAATATTGAAAATTCATCATGAACCTCAGTTGTGAATAAAAAATAAATTAATCATGATATACTCAAATTTTATAACTGTTAAAAATGTAGCAATGTGGGGAACATGTATGGTTTTCACTTATTTTGTGAAATTACATATGTTCTGTAGCTACAGCTGGGTAATTCATTGTATGTGAAAAGTATAAGATGTAATAGTTACGATCTAGTAATGAGTGATGAATGATGACACTTTTTCTGTAATTAAAAAATTAAATATCTGTGGACATTTAGATCTTGGAATGAGAATTAAAGTAACTAAGGCAGAACGCAAATGTGTTTCTTTTTTTTTCTTCTTTTTTTAAATATATATTTTATTGATTTTTTACAGAGAGGAAGGGAGAGGGAGAGAGAGTTAGAAACATCGATGAGAAAGAAACATCGACTAGCTGCCTCTTGCACACCCCCTACCGGGGATGTGCCTGCAACCAATGTACATGCCCTTGACCAGAATCGAACCTGGGACCTTTCAGTCCGCAGACCGACGCTCTATCCACTGAGCCAAACCGGTTTCAGCGCAAATGTGTTTCTATATATGATGACAATTGTAGTACTTAAAAGCAAAACACTTAGCAGCTTTTTAAAGTTAATTTTTATTGACGTGTTATATATACAGATAAAATTACTCATATCCTAAGAATACAGCTCAAAGAATTTTCACAATTACCAATACCACTCAGACCAAGGGGAAAAAAAACAAAACATTTTCAGGTCTCTAGAAACCCCCCTTGCGTCCCATCCTGGTGACCCCGCACCCCTGCTTCCGAAGCATAGATTTTAAATGGCACTGAAGTACACTAAAATGTTAACAAACCCTGTGTTTACTTGGTTAGAACCATGAGTGACCTTTGTTTTCTATATGTTTTTTTAATCTTCCTTCTCCATGGTTATGAATTATACTGTATTTTACTCTAAATTTCATTTATGATCTAATGTCCAACTATTAAGTCATAAATTGATCCTTGCACTTAGTCACATAGAATTCCTCCTTTTGAAATGGCCTTTGCTATTTGAATTTAGGAATAGGGCCACCACCTTGGTTCCTTCTGTAATAGAATAGGAAATAGGGGTTATAGATCGGAAGTAATTCTCCCATCTGTGTCACAGTTCTTTTCTGTCACAGGGCAGGCCTTGGGCACTGACTGTAATTCTGTGTATTAGGACCCTTCCTTTTGAGGCTTAACATTCAAGCAAAGGTAAAAGCAAACATTGTATTCTGCTCCTCTTTCCCTGCCATCCTGGTCCGCGCTTCACTGTTCCCCTTCTCCAGCCAAAGGGGACTGGCCTGTGCCTTCACCAGAGCTGGGCCACTCTGCGAGCTTTGGTCACAGCACAGCAAGAAAAGCAACAAGACCAGTAGGACAATTGAGGAAACCTAGACACCTCACCCATTCCTGCCACAGATTCACAGGCCCGGCCGTGCTGTTAGGACAACAGTACACCTTGGTGATGTCTGTTTGTAAAGAGGCTGATCCTCTGTGTCTCCACGGTGGAGAAATGGAAAGAAGCCAGTGATCTGGGCCCCTCACAGAGAGGAGGATCACTTCTCCTCGCCCTACTCTAAAGCCAACCGGAGGTGTGAGGGGCCGGACAGATCTGTTTTAGCCATCTAAAATAGTTATTTTGTTCAGTGCTGGAGATTCAGAATAGGTATTTCCCTTCACACTGGGGAACCAGAGAACAGCCCCTGACAGCAGGCTGGGTTGTTGGCGGGAGTAGAAATTAAAAGGCGACGTTGGAGATTTCCAGGGGACTTGTCAGTGCACAGTATTTTAAATGACAGCGATTCCACTTACAGGAGTTCATCCCACAGACACACTCATTCTGGTGCCCAGTGACACAGAGCAGGAATATCACTGCAGCGTTGCTCCCGGTAGCAGAAGAAGGATGCAACCTAATGCCTGCAGGAGGGGGCCTGGGTGTTACTGCACATCAAGCATGTCAAACTCAGAGGCTAACACGGGCCAAATAAGAAAGGTTTTCGTGTATGTGGGCCACGAAAAAACAAAAGCTTCCATTTTCATAGAAACGTAGGTTTATTTTGATAGAGACATGCTGAATACAAAGGGCTGAAGTAGAACATTTTAACAAAAATTAGTATTTTTTTCTTGAACATTAACTTACCAGACACTGAAGAACTGCACAAATTAATAAGTGCAATGCAAATAAACCTATTTTCTTGTTCTCCAAAAGTGAAATATTTCCTGTTGTGCACACCAAACAAGTCAGTCGAGGACTAATGACATGGCGGGCTGCTAAAATATTTAGTGGAGAGAAATGATGTGCCTGCATATAAGGCATGTAAGGGAAATGAATGCAAAACGATTATAGTAATCAGTCGTTAGCAAACATTGTAGTTTGTTATTAATAACTAGAAGCCCAGTGCATGAAATTAGTGCACAGGTAGGGTCCCTAGGCCTGACCTTCGTTCCGTGCTGCCCCCTGGTGATCAGTGCACGTCAGAGTAAGTGATTGGTCTCCCAGTCAAATTCCCATGGGGACAATTTACATATTAGGCTTTTTTATATATATATATATATATATATATATATATATATATATATTTATTATGCATAACAGGCTATTGTAAAAATTAAGTTACAAAAATTTTATTAAAACGTTTTTTACATACCGTTATATTGGCAGGGCCACAGACATATTCATTGTGGGCTGCATGCAGCTGCGGGCTGCGAGTTTGACATGCTTGCTGTGCATCCATGCATTAGAATAGTGTACAACCTCAAGAAAATGACAGTGTCAGTTACCTTGGACACGTATTTTTTATCGTTTATATTGTTTGAGATTCTTACATTGTGTAACTCTTACAAGTATACATTTTATACTTTTTTTTTAAATGTTAAATTATCTTAAGGGACTGGCGGAAACAGAACTAACTCAGAGTGGGGGCGGGGTGGTATTTTGCCAAACATTTATACAGGCAGAGAGTAGAGAACTTAGAAACTTCCTTTGTAAAATTACAAGTCTTTCAAAGCGAAAGTTGGATTAGAAACCTAAAAAGAGAATGCTAAATTTCTTGAGCCTGATAATGGTGTGGTTATGTAGGGATACATCCTTATCCGCAGGAGATCCATAGTGAACCATTCAGTGTCTACACTTATTTTCATAATGTTCAGCAACAAATGTGTAAGCGTGTGTGCATGTTGACAGAGAGAAAAGGGAAAGTGGCAAAACGTTAACAACTGCTGAATCCAGGAGAAGGACGTGTGAAGCCTTGTTTTGCTAGTCTCTTAACATTTCTGCGGGGTTGACGTTTTTCAAAATTGAAAGTTGGGAAAAAAGAAAAGATTTTTTTTTTTTTTAAACCAAAGAGCTCTGAAAAGCAAAGCAATGACAAAACACTTATTAAAGAAACCAGTTACAAAAGCCAGTCGTTGTCCATGTCTTTAGCTAGCCGACTAAGCAGGAAAGGCTTCTGCAGCTGCAGTTGTTGGAGGCTTGAGCTCCAGAACGTTTTGGGCAGGATGCCGGCTAGCGGGGCTATTTCAGAACCTGGAAGCACAGACCGTAGCCTTTTCTCTAAGAGATGCATGTAAGAAGAGATATCTTTCTCTTCTCTCTCCTCTCCAGTTCCGAGAGAGACCCGTGCGGTAGTTCGTTGCCACCTGACAGCAGGAGACCGGTCAGCCTGATCGGCCAAGAGGTGATCCTCGCCTTCTTTCTCCTGCTCTTGCTGGTCTGGTTCCTGAACCGGGAATTCGAAGTCAGCTACCGCCTTCACTACCACGGGGACGTGGAGGCCGACCTGCACCGCACGAAGATCCAGAGCATGAGGGACCAGGCGGACTGGCTGCTGAGGAACATCATCCCCTACCACGTGGCCGAGCAGCTGAAGGTGTCCCAGACCTACTCCAAGAACCACGACAGCGGGGGCGTCATCTTCGCCAGCATCGTCAACTTCAGCGAGTTCTACGAGGAGAACTACGAGGGGGGCAAGGAGTGCTACCGGGTCCTCAACGAGCTCATCGGCGACTTCGACGAGCTCCTGAGCAAGCCCGACTACAGCAGCATCGAGAAGATCAAGACCATCGGGGCCACGTACATGGCCGCCTCGGGGCTGAACGCCACGCAGTGCCAGGACGGCAGCCACCCGCAGGAGCACCTGCAGATCCTGTTCGAGTTCGCCAAGGAGATGATGCGCGTGGTGGACGACTTCAACAACAACATGCTCTGGTTCAACTTCAAGCTCCGGGTCGGCTTCAACCACGGGCCGCTGACGGCCGGCGTCATCGGCACCACCAAGCTGCTGTACGACATCTGGGGGGACACCGTCAACATCGCCAGCCGGATGGACACCACGGGGGTGGAGTGCCGCATCCAGGTGAGCGAGGAGAGCTACCGCGCCCTCAGCAAGATGGGCTACGACTTCGACTACCGGGGCACGGTGAACGTCAAGGGCAAAGGTCAGATGAAGACCTACCTTTACCCGAGGTGCACGGACAGCGGCGTCGTGCCTCAGCACCAGCTGTCCATCTCCCCGGACATCCGCGTCCAGGTGGACGGCAGCATCGGGCGGTCTCCCACCGACGAGATCGCCAACCTGGTGCCTTCTGTACAGAACTTGGACAAGCCATCTCTGGGTCCCGAGAACAGCGCCCAGGCCAAGGACCCCCACCTGTCTTCTAAGAGACCCTGGAAGGAGCCCGTGAGAGCCGAAGAGAGGTGTCGGTTCGGCAAAGCCATAGAGAAGGGTGACTGTGAAGACGCGGGGATGGAGGAAGCCAACGAGCTCACCAAGCTCAACGTCTCCAAGAGTGTGTGACGCAGCCCCTGGCCGCTGCCCACGGTGCTCTGTTCCTCGAAACACAGTAATATTCGTGTTCGGCCGAAGTGCGCTCCGAGCGCCGCGGCCCCCACGCCCAGGAGTGGCGCCACGTGGTCACTGCAGCCCTAGCTTCTGTGAAGATCACAGTCATTCAGGGTTTGTTTTCATCCGTTTCTCTCCTCTTCTCCCCGGGACCCTCTCCCCGCGGTGTCGCCGCCCAGCGGCGTGGAGAACAAGTGCCTTCGGGGGCTGGCTGTTGAGGGACAGAGACGGCAGGGCAGAGGTCTCGGCGTCGGGTACGGCTGGACTTTTAAGACAAAAGCTGTGGTCGGGATATCGTTCTTATTGCTTTTTCTCACGAGACACTTTTCTTTGCTAATGCCATGTTTTTTGAGGTTTTTTTTTTTTTTTCCTATATACTTAATAGCGTTTTCCAGTGACCTGACCCTTCTATGTAAATACACACACGCACACACACTTGCACTTACCAATCTGAGCTCAAGTGCCAGTAACTCACCGAGGGGAGGTCAAGGCGGGGGGTGCGGGCTGAGAACAGCGGTCAGCCGGCGGCCTGGCGCCCCTCCCTCGCTGCGCCTTCCGCAGCGCCGGCCCCGGCGGGCTGTGGGCGCCCCGCGCCCCGCACCTCCGCACGCAGGCCAGGCTTCCCAACGCCGGCCAACCCGTAGCTAAGCTCGGGAAGCCAGGCCTCAGGAATCTGAAAGCTGTGTTCACTCTGCCCTCGTGCCGTGCCGAGGGGTCTTCCAGCCGGGAGGGAAGGGTTTGTCCTTGAGGCCAGCTCGCCCGAGAGGGAGACGACAATAAATGCCTGGGGGTTGCATTTATTTATTTATTTATTTGCCAGGAACTGTGTTTTCAGGGAGGCGATGCCGGTCCTTCTGCTGGAGGCACACGGCGGCGGAGGGTGAGGAGTTGTCTGCCGCGGAGGGTGAGGAGTTGTCTGCCGCGGAGGGTGAGGAGTTGTCTGCCGCGGAGGGTGAGGAGTTGTCTGCCGGTGCTTTAGCCTCTTTGGCCACCTGCCCTGCAAGGGGGCCGGGCCACGCCGCACCCAGTGGGCACGGCCCGCACTCGGGTCAGAGAAGCTCCCCGTCTGCCCTGCGTGGCGCGGGGCGGGCAGGACCCAGCGGGGTCTGAAGCAGGGGTCCGGGCAGAGCGCGGGGGCGGCAGGCAGTGCCGGCACCGTCTCGGCCTTCACACGTTCACGAAGTTTGTCTGTCCTTCCTGCCGGCGGCCTGTGCTGGGCCTGTTGGAGGCAGGACCGGGCCTGTGAGTGAAGGCCAGCCCCCTCCAGACGGAGGTCTTGCACTGGATGGGGGGGGTGGGGGGGCCAGACTTGTCTGGGTGCCCACGGGCTGTTAATCCAGGATGGGGGAGAAGACACCTCTGTGCCCTTTGCTGCCAGTCCTCCCTGTAGTTACATTCTGCCACATGGAGTCTGAACTTGACGTAGAGCTGAACTCAGGCCAGTGTGTCGTTGCCATAGTCCCAGTTACTTTTAAGGTGCCCCTGGCCCAAGGCTCTCGGGGTACTTTGGGAACTATCTCCCTCTCTGTGTAAGGTCTTCACCGACATGCCCCGTGCATGTGCTTCTCACCGGTAACTCTGTGTGTAACCTCACATCTGCATTAAGGTATCCCCCTCCTTCCCAAATGTGTACAGAATCTGCCATTTCCAGCATCATGACACATTGATTCCGATCAGCCATCTCCCCAGGGGGTCGCCAGGGCCACGCCTCCCTGGGGAGCGGAGCGTTCTCAGTGACCACGACTCTCCTTCAGGTTTCACCGTCACTGTGTTGTTCTTCCAATGCCCGAGAAAGGATGGTTGTGACAATACCTCTTGCTTCTAAAGAATGTATTCTTATAAAATATTGCAGAATTTTTATTTTTATTGTTATTTAAAAAAAACAAAAACACTACCTAAATGCTCTCCTTGTCTGTAAGAGTGTGGGCGTGTCTGGGGTTTCTCCCCTCAGTATTCAGGGGTGTGTGAGTGTGGCTCCTTTCCTTTGCCTGCCCGCTTCAGGCTCTGGAGCTGTGGCGGCACCTAAGGGGCTGGGCAGTTTGCCTACTTGTTACCAGTGTCTCTGTTGTTGCGCCCAAAAACGTGCTCTGCAAAGTTCATCTGTGCACACACTTCCTTCCTAGCAAACTCTCTTTTCCCCTTCCCCACCTACAAAGGTGTTGATGGTTCCTGGCCCAGGGAATCCGAGAGGCTGCAAATCATCGGGAGAGGGTCAGACCACAGGGTGATCTGGTTCAGCTCCGTGCACACCGGAGCCTTTGGTGGACGGCTTCCCCAGAGTTCCAAATTGTCCAAGAACGCCCTGAGCCTTCCTGAACAGCCAGTTCAGATGTGCTCTCTGGCCGTCCCCAGCTCCCTGCTCTGAAGCATACCTCATCATGGAGCCTCAATCTCTGCAGCGGAACCGCTGAGCGTCTCCCCCCGCTGGCGTTGAACAGAGTTGCTGAAGACAGATGGGTTTCTAAGCAGCAGGTTCAAGCACTACCGGCACGATGGGTGCGTCCTTCAGAGTAGCAATACCTCTTCCGAACTTAGGGCAGGAAGCAATACTTCAGAAATGAATGTGTGTAAATAGTCGCTTTGAGTCGCAATTGCTATTTTCTCCTTGGCTCCAGGTCAGATCAAATTATATATATATAGATGTATAAACAAGCACATAATTTTATCCAATGCAAACAAATGTAGAGCATCAGTAATTAAACCCTTAAGTATAATAGCTTGGAGAGTCGCACAGATTATGCCACACCTGCGCACGACTCCATCGACACCGACTTCGCTTGTGGAGACACCTGCACGTTTGCACATGACATGGAGAGCCCAAGGGCCGAGTGCTCCCGCTACATGATCTGTAATAACCTGTCGTTCCCAAAGATCAGTCTGCGTTTGCATTTCTAAATTTTTGAGGTAAACATTTTTTTTTAATTTTTTTTTTTTTGGTTGGTGGTTTCAGAAAATCACATCATGCCTAGAATCTGAAATTAAATTAGCAAGGACCAACTGTTTGCATTTTCTACCTTTCCTTTGCTTTTATTCTTGGTAAAAATTGTTAATTTTAATAATTTCAAAATGCATCCACTAAAGAAATGGACATTAAAATATTCTAAAAATCTAAATATTTGATGCCTGGCATTCTCATTGAAAAGATCAGTACCACGTCAGAGATTGGGGTGCCCCTCGCTCCCTGCAATTTGTGGCTTGAAATAGGGAGATTTGCTTTTCTTTTGTATCATCACTTTGAATACAAGGTAACTAAAAAAAATCCCTATGTGTCCTGTGGGTTTTTTATGGACATTTGCTACAGTTAACTTTGGTTGAGAAGTATTTATTTTTACATGGAACTTTAAAAAAAACAACAACAACAACACAGAAAAGCAGGTTGTAGAACTAGTTTTGCTTGCGATGACAACCCCATTTTATTAGGCCTTCTGGTAGTTTGGTTCTGCATTATCTTGGAGAAGGGATTGACAAAGAAAGGAAAGTAGCCTGTCCCTTGCAGAGTTCCTGAGGGTAAGTCACAAAACCATTTCAGAATCTGAAGTCCCAGAGACTTTTCCCAGGAAAACACACAAGCCATTTGTATATCTGAGGGGTTCACAGCACCCCCAAGCCTGGAGCCAAACAGAACCTGCGGGGGTTGGGACTCCCGTGGGCTCAGTGAAAGGAGACAAAGATGTGGGCCTGTCCGTCCTTGTACATCCGCTTGCAGGGATCGAGCTTCCAGGTGACCCTCAGTTGGAACCTGGTGCCCGTGAGGACACTACCACATGGCCGGGACACTCTCCTGAAACTGCTGCGGCTTTCCTCGGAGCCTTTCGGAGCTTCGAGAGTCGCGGTCTCTGCAGCCTGGAAGGTCTTAGGAGGACATGGGTCTCTTCCCTGAGAAAGAGCACCCAGGAGTGTAAAGGATTTCTCAAACAGCCCAGAAAGTTTGCAGTAAGTCTCAGAACTCAGCCTTGGTGGTTTCTCTTGTGTTTAAAATCTCTTCTCACGCGGTCCTGCTGTGGGAATCCGTCACTGTGGCCACCTGGGATCAGTCCTGAGTTCCAGGAAAAGGAAGCTAACTGGGGAAAGAGATAAATGAGCGGAAGTGATTAAGAAAAAGTATACACTTGCACACCACATACTTATGAATTTAAAGTCTCTCCAAGTGTCTATTTTTATACAGTCCCTTTGGGGGGAAAATGGTTTTTTTAATAACATGACTCCAAAGAATTGTTATTGGATATTAGAGTAATTTAAGCTTAGGGAATTCTCATATTCCTGCTGGGCCTGAAAGTCGGAAGGAGAAGCGAATTAAGCAATCATCTATTGAGCAATCTGAGTGCTTCCTGAAATCTGTCATCAACAAGCATCTATTCTCAATCTTTTTTCTGGCTCACAAAGTCTTTGATAATTGGATGAAAGTTGTGGCTCCTTTCTCCAGAAACACACACGTAAAAATACGCCCCCCTTTTAATGTTGCATACAACTTCAGGAGTTCCTGGAACTAAATAAAATGCCCCTGATCTACAATAACTAGAGGAATGATGGTTTGTAATTATTGCTATCTGCAAATCCAGTTTCTAGGCACTACTGGACTCTTCATTGTGACCTTGATTAAAAGTGTTAATGCTGCTTATTTATGCGTTTCCAATCAAAATTATAGTTTACACTTATGTCTGAGTTACCTAAATATATTTGAAGAGCTACTCAAAAAGCTTTTCAATATGTAAACATAAAGTTAGTCAGATTCTTCCCAACATTTAAAGTAACATCCAGCCTGTATTTACTGACTACCTACTATGTGCCAAATAATGCCAAAAGTCCCTTTATTTACGTTGTCAAATTTGCTGCAGTACTTGAGGATATTTGAGTAACAGCTGTGATTACAACTGCGCTTTTCATGATGGCTCTACAACTATGAATTTCACCAGGAAACTGAAGGGAAGTTCCAGATACCTGGGATCACATTGGCATTATTAAAGAGTGGCTTCCTCGTATCTTCTGTAACCCACTGGGTTATTTTTGTGTTTATGGCCTATGGATTGCTTAGCCTCTCAAGAAGGAGCGATCGATGAGAAGCATTCAGAGAAAGCAACCACACCAATATTGTGTTGGATCCACGTGCCACTCATAAGATCGTGCTTTTGTTTTAAAACAATCCTCTCCTGATGGCAATTCAGTCCCAACGCGAGGGGCTCCGAGCCAGATGGGACAAAGCGCTGGCTTGGGCTGATTTGGCTGTGACAGCCTTTTGGGAGTAACCACCAGCGAAAGGTGTTCTGCTCTCTGAGGACCGTGGTGGTTGGAGTCTCTGCCAATCCCGTCTCCGCCAGATGTCTGGTTGTGAGGTGAGGCAGCCCGGCGTCCAGCAGTCTTTTGAAAGGAATACTCTTTTCCCTGTCTTCCTCTGACCTCAGAAAAGTCTTGCCTTCTAGGTTGAGAGGGTGATGAATGGTATGAAAAGAGGAGTCGTTTGGAAACTTGTCCATGTGATTCTGGGAAAAGGAAGCGGAATGGGAAAGGGAAGTGATGAAGTCGTGTAGACTCTGCTTGGACTCCTCTGGACACAGACACCCTGTGCCTGAGGCAAACTTCAGTGGGTCACCATGATCTTCCTTCTCTGGACTGGCTCTCATTCTCCCCAGCTTCTGAGACCGCCAAAACTGACCTCCAGAAGTCTTCTCACCATGGCCCAGCCCTGCCCAGTTCTGACTCAGTGTGTCATGGGTGGCCATTTCTCTCCGAGAACATGTATGTGTCCTCACCCCGTTCCCATCATCTTTGACCTCCCAAGTAGGTTTCAGTGCCATGCCATCCTCATTCTCT